AAATATTATTACAGTATTATTATCGTTATTTTTTGGTGTCATTTCCCTACAATCTAATAAACTATGGCAAGTAATACTACTACAGAAATTTTTGATGGTGCTACTAATTTTGGCATTGTCTCCGTTGCTATTGTTCCAGCTGTCCTGCCAGATATCCACGGTGTTGCAAATACATTATTGCATCCACAACTTGAGCAGACACTGATATCAAAATACAAGGTATGTAAATAGATATGGTTATATATCCAATGCTAATATTAAAACCTTCAAGAAAGATGCACCTTAATGCAAGAGAAGAGTTAAGATAAATGACAATCTCGCTAAGTCAAAATTAAATTTGACTAAAGCGAATAATATAATTATTGCGGTCATTTTCCAAATAAATATTGTAACCATAGTTTATTTATGCTTAATGTTTCTGATACTAGCAATGAAAATGCATCTTCTTCTGCTTATATGGTTGAGTCTGTTTCTTTATGGCATGCTAGACTAGGACATGTTAATGTCGCGTATATAAAGAAAATGCAATCACTAGGATTAATATCTGGTTTAGACTCCAATAATATTGACAAGTATGAAATATGTGCTGAAGCTAAAAGTACTAGAAAGACTTATTTTTCTGTAAATAGAGAAACTGATTTGTTATTCTTGATTCACACTGATTTAGGCGATTTAAAGCAGACTATGACTAGAGGGGGTAAAAGATATTATGTGACTTTTATCGATGATTTTTCTAGAGAATATTTATCTTTGTATGAATTTTGTGAAAAGAATGGAATACTTCATGAAGTAACGCTGCCTTATTCATCTGAGTCAAATGGAGTAGCTGAAAGGAAAAATCGAACATTGAAAGAGATGATGAACTCTATGTTAGTTAGTTCTAATGCTCCTGATAATTTGTGGGGCGAAGCTATTTTATCTGCATTTCACTTATAAAATAGAATACCACATAAAAGAACTGACAAAACTCCGTATGAATTGTGGAGGGGTTATAAACCTAACTTGAAATATTTAAAAGTGTGGGGATACCTTGCTAAACTTCTTTTGCCTGAACCTAAAAAGAGAAAAATAGGTTCTAAAACTACCGATTGCATGCTTATTGGATATGCTGAACATAGTGTTGCAGATAGATTTCTTGTTATAAAAAGTGATGTGCTTGATTGCAATACTATAATTGAGACAAAAAATACTGAGTTCTTTAAATATATTTATCCATTGTCTGATAAAATTTTACACATGTTGAAATAAATAGTGAAATTACCTCTAATGAGGAACTGAGAAGGAGCAAATGACCTAGAAAAGAATATTTTTCTTATGGAAATAATTTTCAAACTTTTCTTGTTGATAATGAACAATAAAATTACTTTGAAGCTATATCTTCTTGAGATGCTAAATATTGGAAAGAGGCAATAAAAGTTGAAATTGATTCTATTTTGAAAAATAACGCATGGATTTTAACTGATTTAGCTCCTGGTGCAAAGCATATTGGTTGTAAATGGATTTTCAAAAAGAAATTTAATCCTAATGGATCTTTAGATAAATATAAAGCTCAGTTAGTAGCAAAAGGATTTTCTCAAAAACAAAATATAGATTATTTTGATACATTTGCACCAGTGACTAGAATTTCTTTTATTCGAGTTTTAATTGCCTTAGCTTCAATCCGTAAACTTTTTATCCACCAAATGGATGTCAAAACTGCTTTTCTAGATGGTGATTTAGAAGAAGAAATTTATATGGTTCAACCTGAAGGCTGTGTCATTCCTGGACAAGAAAATAAAGTTTGTAAATTAATTAAATCTCTTTATGGCCTTAAACAAGCTCTCAAGCAGTGGTATGAGAAATTTAAACAAGTCTTACTGAGAGATATTTTTTCTTCAGTGGAGGTGGATAAATGTGTTTATACTAAAGTGGTAGACAATGATTATGTAATAATATGTCTATATGTTGATGACATGCTTATATTTGGTACAAGTTTAAATATTGTGCAAAGTACTAAATTATTTTTGTCTGCTAATTTTGATATGAAAGATCTCGATGAAGTAAATACAATATTGGAAATTAAAGTTATAAGGAGTGAAGATGGAATAATGTTGTCACAAAAACATTATGTTGAGAGATTTCTTAAGAAGTTTGAATATTTTAATGTCACATCTGTGAGCACTCCTTTTGATGCTAACTCTTAGTTGAAAAAGAATAATGGTGACCCGATTGCTCAGTCTAAATATGCGCAGATTATTGGGAGTCTGATGCATTTAATGAATTTTACAAGGCCTGATATAGCCTACGTTGTGTGTAGACTGAGTAGATATACTCATAATCCCAACATAGATCATTGGTCTGCATTAGATAGACTAATAAAATATTTGAGAGGAACCATAAATTATGGTATCCTATATAGTAAATTTTCTTCTACCTTAGAAGGGTACAGTGATGCAAACTGGATCTCTGATTTAGATGAGACAAAATCCACTAATGGTTTATTCACCCTTGGTGGTGGTGCAATATCGTGAAAATCAGTTAAATAAACGATTATTGCTAGATCGACTATGGAATCAGAGTTTGTAGCTCTGGAATTAGCTAGTTCTGAGGCTGAGTGGCTAAGAAACATTTAGCTAATATCCCTTTAATAAAGGACGTATTGCCTTCTGTGTCTATACATTGTGATTGCCAAGCGGCAATAGCTATAGCAAAGAATAAATCTTATAATTATAAAAGTAGACACATGAAATTGAGACATGAAGTCATAAAATAGTTGTTGAGAGATGGAATAATTTTCATTGACTATGTGAAGTCAGAGATAAATTTGGCCGATCCTCTGACTAAACCTGTGGGAAGAAAATTAATTCTTCAAACCTCAAAAGAGATGGGGTTAAGATCGACATGTTGTCAATAGAGATGGTAACCAAACCCATGTGATTGGAGATCCCATGAAGTAGGTACATATGAGTAATAACAAGTCGATATTGGCACTGAAACACTAATCCCCGCATATTTTCAAAAAATGGACAAATGTCCTTTCATGTGGTATTCTTGCATGAGAAATTAAAGACAAGTGGTGTACACTTGTCATGCTCTAAGCTTCACTTAAAGGCTATAAATAAACCTTCAAAATGGCCATTAATTATCAGCATCTTTTTCCTTTGCTTTTTCGTTCCTCTTCAACTTCCTTTTCTTTCCTTCTAAAAAATTTTGTAGCCTACTTTCTTTGTTCCCCTCTTTTAATAGTTAGATTTATTATTAATATTTTGTAGATTCATGTATCCTCTAAATAAATAGAGAATGACTTGTTTAATCGTGAAAAAATATTTCACATTGCTGAAATAGGTTCTTAGGACAGTGCCCAGCACGACTTAAGTCAATTCGTGTATTTTCATTCACAAATATTATTGCAGTATTATTATTGTTATTTTTCGGTGTCATTTCCCTACATAAACAATCTTGGTACAATCAAGTAACTTAAATAGGTAATTATAGGTGTATTTCTTAATAATCATTAATTGGTAATCTGGTAACAATGATAACTAGCTTGTTATCACAAGTTAAAATTTACTAATAGTGTAAAAGAAAGTTTACTTTGTTAATGTACAACAACAACAACAAATCCAGTATAATCCCATAAGTGAGTCCTGGAAGGATAGAGTGTACGTAGAACTTACGCCTACCTGGTGAAGATAGAGAGGCTGTTTCCGATACTCTCGGCACAAGAAAAGTGAAAAAAGAAGAAAAGGAAGAATAAGAAGAAGAAGAAGGCGAAGAAGAAGGAGAAGAAGAAGAAGAAGAAGAAGAAGAAGAAGAAGAAGAAGAAGAAGAAGAAGAAGAAGAAGAAGAAGAAGAAGAAGAAGAAGAAGAAGAAGAAGAAGAAGAAGAAGAAGAAGAAGAAGAAGAAGAAGAAGAAGAAGAAGAAGAAGAAGAAGAAGAAGGAGGAGTACAAATAGTACCAACAGGAAAATAAGATAACGAACGAAACAACATGAAGTAAAAGCGATCTAGTAATAGGAAAATACAAAAGTGCTACTGATACTACTAGTAAGGAATGGGAAAACTCTCGACTACCTATTGATCTTTTATCCTAATTCTCGACGTCTACACACTTCTATCAATGGTCATATCCTCGGTAATATTTATTAGATGTTGAGAAAAACTGTAAGGAGAACATTGGCTTAAATTGGAACCAATTATGTCATGAAACCACTAAAAAGACAATTTTGCAGGCCGGAGGGACTACAAATTGCTCAAGAATGGAATTTGTTTCCACTAGAAGTGGAATCAGACTCCACTGAGGTAATACAATCTATACACCAAGGTAATCAAATGTATAATGATATTGTTAACACATGCAGGTTGTTAATCCACCAAAGGAAAGAAGTGATCCTCAGGCACGTGTTCCGGCAAGGAATGAAGTGGCCCATCAGCTAGCAAAGAAGACCGACGTGCAAACAAGGACAAAAAAATATTTTGTGCAACCCCCATCTTTTGTTGAATCTCTTGTAATCAAAGACAAGAAGGAACAATATGTTTTTGTAAAGCATCTATCAACTTATGCTTGTAATGTTCTAGCAACACTAGGAAATCAATGTGTCCTAAGTGACACAGACAATATCTGTAATGTTTTAAATCCGACGCAGTACTAATATAAATATCTTGTTTGCTCAACAAAAAAAAAGTATTTGAAGTGAAAACTCTATTTCTAAGTATAAACTAATGTAGAAAACTTAAGGATTCAATATGAGATAATTAAAGTGTTTTGGAGGTAAAACACAAACTACCAACACAATCTTGATTCACCTTTTTATTTTTATTTACATGAAAAACTAGGGTCAGATATATAAATTTTTATGTTATACAGGTACATCCAATAGTAATAAAAATAGTATATGTACTACTAATTCAAAAGTTATTAATTCTTGTAGTACAACCTATGTATTATATATAATTCTGAATAACTTTATCCACAGACCAAAGGATAAGTTTATTTGAAATATTAGCTTATTGGCTACTGCTAATAGACAAATGTTAAAGGCTTTATTTGTATGGTCATTTTAAGAGTAGAATAATCATTAGCTACATTTTCACACACTATTTTCCATAACCCCCCAAAAGAGTAGATTTTTTAATAAGCCAAACATTACTAGCAAAAAAACACAAGTGCAATATACCTCTTTATCCATATACCTTCTGCCCCTTGTGACGGTGAGTTTCAAATGCTGCATCTTCACCATTCTCTTTCAATTCCCACAAACAATTTGCAGAATCCCTCTATCTTTTTCCTCAGCCATTCAATTACCTCAGTTTCTTGTTCTGGTTTAAAGAGATGGGGTATAATCAAGAACAGCAGAAAAAGAAGAAAAAAGTTTCCTTTGGTTGAAGCTGTAGAAAAAGATTCTGAATTTGAAGTTGACCAAGATAAGGCCCGTGAAGCTTTGAGAAAACTTGATGAAAAACTTCAGTCCATTTCTCAGAAACAAATTGACCCTCCAAAAATTAGAGGTAATATTTCACTTAATTCCCCATCTGTTATATGTGTTTGTAGCCATAGGTGTATGGATATCAAATTATGAATATGTGTCATGTGCTATGCTTTAAATGTATGGTTTTTTAGTTTCTATGATAATTTCTAGTTTTCGAGCTTAGAGCCATTGTTTTCTTTATGTTCTAAGTTAGTGAGGAGGAGTTTGATATTCAACCCCTAACAACAACAACCACCCATCGTAATCTCACGCGTCTGAGGAGTGTAATATGTACGCAGACCTTACCCCTACCCGCTGGGGTAGATAGGTTGTTTCCGATAGACCCTCGGCTCAAAAAGATGAAAAGATATAATAGATCAGTAACAACAACAAATGCCAGAAAGATAATACCAGCATCGTAAGAACTAGAAAATAGATGAAAAAAGTAATATCAATAACCACTAACAATGGCAAGATACTATGAAAACAATAGTCAGTCACAGTCCACTGGCAGTCTATAGCATACATATATTGGGTGTGCGAATAGAGTGTCACTTTGGAAGTTGATAAAGAAAAAAAAAAGAATCTACGAGATATTCTTAATGCTAATGGCGTGTGACTTTTTGGGAAACCGTATGGCCTTGACCAAAAGCGTACTGTATGACAATGTTAAGAGTGATAAATTACTGAATGGTTTGAGACAAAAAATCTTCGTAATTATTAATTCTTTTCTAAGGAAGGGGTGGGTTGCTCTTCAGTGCTTGGGCTGGACTCTTTTTTTTTTTTTTAGAATTTTTAAAAAAAAATTGAATTCCCCTTTGTTGGAGTTACTACTCCTTTGGTGACTCGAACCCATGACCCTGGGATTGTAGGTGAAGGATGCTGACCATCTAAGCAACCCTTTTGTTTGAAGGTTTGTTTTTTTTATAAGAGGTGAAACTTTAAAACTCCACTAAAGACCAATGTCTATCTTTGACCATTTTTAGGCAGGATAACCTCAAAATGTATGAACACTGTCTGCAGCACATACAAGATATATCAGTAAGATTTGATTGTGAGCTTGTTTAGTGATTCTGCTTACAACGGTTCAAGAAACTTTAAGTGCATACTTCTACTGTTCTACAAGGTTGAGATACATACTTAGTCTTTCAAACTCATTAGTCTAACTTGTTTTCTTTACATAATGACAAATATAAACCTCATTGCCTTGGACAATTTTGGGAACTGTTGCTTAAGTAAATTCAGATCACGAGGCTTGGTTAAAGTTCTCTTCTGATTCATTATACATCAACTGTGATATTTTAACTCCTTTTTTAACCTTTCAACTATCATGTTGAAAAGAGTATACACGACATGTTTCTATGATGCGTGATGGGAATTAGGGCGAAGCCTGGGGCGGTCTCTGCCTTCTTAACACGCGGCACACCAACTTGAAGTCTGAATTGAAAATCTCTCTACCTTCACAAAACTTCTCGCGCCCTTCTCGTAGTTTTGACTTGCTCTTAGGCTTAGTTCTGTTTCCTGGGAATCTAAGTTGCTCCGACATGGCAGTTTAGGTGCCGCACCCGTGTTGACACGACACTAGTATGGGTGTGGGTATGGGATCCGTACCGGATCTGGTCAAACAATTTTGGATACTTTGACCACGACGGACGAAAAAATTCTAGGCGATATACAATTTAATTCCCGAAATCAAAACCAAAATTAGGTTAAATTTGAATAAAATAGCATACCTTATCTAGGAAATCAATCATTTTCTTATCTACAACTTGAGAGTAAAAAAAAAAAAATCACACTTTACAAGCTATACACAAGTATTCCCCAAAATTTATCATAATTTAGAAATATTTTTTATATTTTTATATTTTGAATTATTTTTAGCCGGATCCTTGCACCCGTATCCGTACTAGGATCCGTATCCACGAATCTTACAATTTACATCTCGAAAGATCCGACCTCTAGAACCGCACCCATGTCGGACACCTACACCCGTGTCCGAGTAACTTAGCTGGGAATCATCCCAAAAAACAACAAATAGACACACATAATCTATATGGAAAAAGATGTTGCGGAAGCCAAATGTATATAGTGTGAATGAGTCACAACTATTATACCAAAAATTATGA